TAAGTCAATAGAGGAGATAACATGGAATACTACAAAAAAAAAAAAAAAAAAATCTAAAAGAAGGCAGAAAAGGGGAAAAAACAGATGGGACAACTAGAAAAAAAATTACAAGATAGTAGACTTAAATTCAACTATATGAATAATTATATCAAATGTAAATGTTGCAAACACTCCCATAAAAGGCAGAGATTGTCAAACAAGAAAAAAGAACCTAAATATTGTCTACACAAAACAGTCTAAATGTAAAGACACATATGCATTATGTGTATGTGAAAATATTATAAGAAAGCTAAATGGTTATATTAATAATATGATGCTCTTAGCACACTGCCTGGCGAAGGAAAAGACTGCCACTCAATATATGAAACCAAAAATAGAATTTATTGCTTATATGAGTAACAGCGAGCTGTGCTGGTCAGGCATAATCTCACTGAGCAAAACAAATTGCTGATCTTACATCGAGTTTGGAGGAAGAGCTTGTTTTGGATTGTATTGGTTACAGAGGAAAAGTGGGTTAACATCAGCATTAGAAGCATATTTTCTAGGGTGAATCAATTACTGGTTGCTTGGCTTTAAAAGATGAGGCTGTCATTGATTAGTTGGCTTTCAGAGTCATATTCTCTGAAGCAAGTTTTCATTGCTTACGTAGGTTTAAAATCAGTTCTTGTGTTTGCTTATTCCATAGCCACAGAACTATCACTGATTCATTAAATAGGCTTAAAACCAGCTCTGGTGGTTACGTTTTACCATGATTATAGAAACAGTCTTTTCCTAGGAGTGTGGGGGCTTCTAAGAATCTCAATAGCAAACGCTCCACAAATGATGATGAAGATGATAATTGGTGTTGTTATTGTTAGTGGTTTAGAAAACAGATCTATGCTGATGTAACCCTGCAGACTTATCTTTTGGTGTCGGACTTCTGAGAGATGCCCCAAAATACAATGCGTCTGGGAGAAGCTGCCCACATTTCCTTCCCCACTCTTTGGATAGAGTGAACTCAGGTTACCTGGAGCATCTGGCTGGCTTATTCGGAGCGCCAAAGTGTGAAGAAAGGTTGAGGGTAGAGGGGGTAAAAACTGGACAAGAGTGCTGCCCAGAATTGGGAGTTTCGAGCGTGGTTGAGCTTGCAGGAAGCTTCAGCTGGCCACTGTCTGTGGTGCTGAAGTCTGCTCTACAACTCCGCCTTTAACAGTCTGGCCATGAACTTCAATTAAAGAAGGGGACAAACGACCAGGTGAGTAAGGGACTACTACAGCCTCGTTGCCCTTAAGCTGTTTATAAAGCTAACTCCAGGTTGGTTTAAATTTTCATCATCGTCATCACTATAGTGATTAAAAACGTGAACATTAAGGCCAAACTGTCTGTTTTCAAATCCCGGTTCCATTACTTACCAGTGATGTAACTTTGGATAAGTTATTTAATTTCTCCATGCCTCAGTTTCCTCAACTGTAAAATGGATATAATAATAATGCCTGCCTGGTAGAGTTGTTGTGCGGATTAAATAAGTTAGGATACATACATTGTTTAGAACAGAGCCTGCTTCAATAAAAAAACATAGTAAAAGTCAACCATCGTTATAATAGCAACAGATTTGGAATATTTTTAATTTACATGCAGTGTAGCTTGAATGTGAGGGTAAAGATGTAAATGGTTAAGAGAAACTTGCTAAGGTAGGTTGTAGTTTTTCTTCTTTTATAAAACAATAAATTGAGCAAATGAGAAAGTTATTCCGTTTCCTGTGGAATTTTATAATAATATGATGGCAAAAAAAAAAGACACCTTTTTGGCAGCTAGTGGCACTTCAGAACGGTAGACTAGAGGAATTATCCAATAGCAAGATCTGGAAAAGAGTTTTGTGACCATCTTGCCTTGCTCTTCTGACGACATTCATGTAAAACAAACCATTCATTGAGCAGTCCAGCTGTAAAGCTGGCAGTTTTGAAGGCCTCCAGTAAGCTGGCAAGAGAGGCTGCTTCTCTCCCTAAATCAGGTGCCTCTTTCTCAGTGTGGGAACAAGCCTTGGCTCCCTCGCAGAATCTCCTCATGAGCTGGCTTATAACCACAGTCAGTTTGTGATTGAAAAATTGCCAGATGTGGCAGCATCCAAACGACATTTTAATGCCTGTGTCATCAGCAAAGCACACTTGCTAGGGAGTGGGGTGGGAAGGAGTTTATAGCCCGTTCTGCAGGGTGGGGACTCAACAAGACTTGCATTCCCTCAGCCTCAGTTTCTCATCTGAAAAATGGGTATAATAATATAAACAATAAAATATTGTTATGTAAAAATAATATAGTAACAATAATAAGGCAGTCCCTGGGTTATGAATGTCTGACTTATATACAACCTGTAGTTATGAACCAACCCCTGTAAAGTGTATTATATTGAAACTATATAGAATGGTTCATAATAACAAACAGGTACTACTTTGCAAGTGCATTAAAACATTATTATTACTATATTATGTTAAAGATGTTTTAGTGTATCTGGAGGTGTTTCTTTAATGTTTTTTATGCATAGATAGGTACTAAGACAAACATTTGACTAACTGATGTTAGATATGAACTGTCCCTAACTGTTCTGACTTAAATGTACAAATTCGACTTAAAGACAGACTTAGGAACAGAACTCATTCGTAATCTGAGGACTGCCTGTACCACCTTAAGAAACAGTTTTTAAGTATTAAGTGACATAATGTACGTGAAGTTTCCTGGCACAGCTCCCTGGTTCACGGTGAATGCTCAATAAACGTTAGTCTGCTTAGCACACCACCACCACCCTCTCCCCCCATAACCACCATTGCAGGGGTGAAAGTGCTTCCTAAAGAGGTAGCATATGTGAGTGATTAAAATACTATTTTTGATATGAGAGTTGTATGGAAAAATCTACATACTATTCTTAAAAATATATGTGGACGTCTATTTATTGCAAACTAACTTATAGCAACAAATAACTATATATATATATTTATATGGGGGGGAGGGAGAGAGAGGGAAGGAGGGAGGGAAAGAGAGAGGGATAGTTATATAGTTGTAGTTATTTAAATAACTTTCCAAAATGATCAAGCCAAAGAGAATAGAATGTCATAGCTTTGAATAAGGTTTCTCCATCGTCAATCACAGCTCTATCAAGTTCTGAGCTTTTATCCAATCAACTTATTTTTGAATAAATCTTTTATTCAAAAAGATCTATTCTTGGCGAACTACTATGTGTTCGCTATAGGTCGCTATGAGTCGGAACCGACTCGACGGCGACAGGTTTGGTGCTGTTGTTGGTTCATGATGTGTGGGGCAGTTTTCTAGGCCCTAGGAATGCAGCTGTGAGCCAGACAGAGCCTGCCCTCCCGGTGTTCTCTCTCTGTCTTTTGCTATTGAGGTGAAATAGACATCCAAAACACACAGTGAACCATTTTAAAGTGTACAGCTCAGTGGCATTTAATGCATTCAGTGTTGCACAAACACCACTTCTGTCTAGTTTCAAAACTGCAGGCTGGTTTAAATGTCTGCCGTCATCACCACTACGGTATACTGATTAAAAACGTGAACACTTTGTGCCCATTTAGTAAGCGTCCCACTCCCCCACCCCCTGGCAACCACGAATCTACTTTCTGCCTCTGTGGGTTTCATTCTGGATATTTCACATGAAAAGAATCCCACATGTGACCTTTGGGGTCTGGTTTCTTTCACTTAGCATATTGCTCTCAAGGCTTACCCAAGTTGCAGCGCATCTGTTCGCTTGATAACCTCCTGGGGGACCTCTGTGTCCCACCTCCACTCAGCTGTTCCTTGAGGGCAAGCCTCTTATTTAGCCAGGCAGCCACCCTGAAGGTCTTTGGTGGCCCTGCTGGGGAAGCGGCTGGGGCAAGAGTGCTGAGTGGTGTTAGGAGAGCCAGGTGAGCTGAGGCCCAGGCTGACCAGGGCGAAGTCCCAGCTGAGGTCGCCTGCGAGGTCAAGCCTGGGGGTCCAGCGAGCTGGAAAGCTCCAAGGGGCTTTTTAAAATCCAAAATATTTTCTCATCTCCTCACATCCCTGCATTCTGCCTTTTCATTCTTCTGCCTAATCCTGAATATTATACCATCCTCCTTGGCTTGTTCCAGGTCTACTAACTGTACCTTTTACCTGTGTCTTTTAGTTACATGACCCCAATTGTCTTAATGGATGTAATAAATGGTCCCCTTTTGTGCTTAAAGGAGCCCCGGTGGCACAATAGTTAAGTGCTCCGCTGCTAACCAAAAAGGTCGTTGGTTCAAACTCATCAGCGGCTCCACAGGAGAAAGACATGGCAGCCTGCTTCCATGAAGATCATAGCCTTGGAAACCCTATAGGGCAGTTCTACTCTGTCCTCTAGGGTCGCTGTGAGTCAGAATTGACTCAGTGGCAACAGGTTTTGGGTTTTTGTGCCTAACGAAAGGCTAATCTAAACTTAGTTATTGCAGTCTTCAGCAAGCACCCCCTAGAAGTTGGGGGTTCCAGGCCATCCCCTTTCTTCAGGTCATTATGTTGCTTTCATTCATTATTGCTCCCTTCTCTCCTGTATAAACCAGAGTTATGACGACCCCATGTGTGTCAGAATAGAACTGTGCTCCAGAGTTTTTAATGGCTATGGGCTATCAGAAGTAGGTCATCAGGCCTTTCTTCCCAGGCACCTCTGGGTGGATTTGAACCACCAACCTTTCAGTTAGTAGCCAAGCACTTAACCATTTGAGCCACCAAGGGACTCCTAAGTAAAGGGTGGTTGTTGGGTGCCGCCAGTCAGTTCTAAATCATAGCGACACCATGTAACCGAGTAGATCTGCCCCGTACGGTTTTCTTGGCTGTTGTCTTTTACGGAAGCAGATCACCGGGTCTTTTTCCCTCAGAGCTACTGGGTGGGTTCTAACCACCAACCTTTTGGTTAGCAGCTGAGCAGTTAACCGTTGTACCACCAGGGCTCCTTTATGTAAATTAAATAAAGAGACAGAGTGAAACCACTTTTAATTTATTTCAGCAGATTATCTACATACAATTGTTTTTGCTAAACGAAACAACCTAAACACACGTGGGTTTTGGTGACAAATTCTGTTAAAACAGTGGGGGAAATCACCTAAATATGCAAAAGCAATGCTCAGTCTCAGGAGGAGCAGGTAGGGCTAGGGACTGTCTGAAGTCTAGAGCTGAAGTCCAGCTCCTCCTTTTTAAGAGGGCATGTTGGCCTAAAAGCTTCTGCATTTGCTTGAGGTTACAGCTAGTAGTCCTGCCAGATCCAGAAACCAGGTGTCCTGATTCCCTGTCCACTGCCCCAGGCCTGGAGCCCTTCGTCTTCCCTCCCAGCACCTTCTCAGGGGAACAGGGACCCGGCATGTTTATAAAAGTACAAAATGGGTCAATGTTTCCAGGGATGAGGAGTTGTTTTTTAGACATCCTCCCTTTTGAGGAGAAGCAGGGATTTTTTTGTGTTATTTTGTTTTAATTCATCATGCAGTAGGATAAATCAGATCTATTTCTCCAGTTCTCATCATAGAACCCTCAGTTGAGAATTGCCAGGGAACAGAAATCCCCAGCTGACAATGTGTCCATTGCTTGGCTAGATGCTCCGGTAAGTGGGCCAGGATTTCTTACCAGAGCTCAGCAATATTCACTCATGTAAGTGCTTAGGATGGCTGCTGGACAGCAAGCATGGGAAACGGAAGGAAGCAGGGCAGAGGTAAAACAAGGGCACTAAATCGGGGCAAGGGTGACTTGCTAAGTACAAAATTCAGACCTACATGAAGACCTGCCTCTGTGCGGGTCCAGTCAGAGGCCTACGGCCCCAGCTCCCTGGGCACAGGCGCCCCGTCTGAGGCACAGCTGCACTTCCGCACCCGCAGGTTGGGCAGGCTCACCACCTGGGGCCTGGCCCCGCCTCCCTCCTTGATGCTGACGATCATGGGCAGCGAGGCCGTCTCCGACGCGATGCACTGCCGCGGCCCCAGAAACGGCCACTGGAAGGTCAGGGACTCCTGCGGCTGCTGGCAGGAGCCCACACACTCGTAGGCCAGGAAGCCCGGGGGCTCCAGGACCCAGTTCTCGGCCCACTTCATCCCCTGCAGGTCAATGTAGGTCTCCTGGCGGCAGCAGCGGGTGCCCTCGGTCACTGGCGCCTCAGGGTCACAATCGCCCTGAGCTCTGCGGGGGCAAGGAGAGGCAGGGTCAGAGGTCAGCTAGGAGGGCTGCGGGCAGGAGGCCCAGGCTGGGGCATAGTGGGGCATCTGGGAGGGAGATTTAGGATCCATCTCTCATTACCTTCTAAAAGCCGGGTATTTGTGATAAAGGATGAATGAATACCCAAAACATAAATAATAGCAACTAACGTTTACTGAGGTCTCCTAAGAGTTGAAGTAGGAATATTATACATCCATTATCTCGTTACCATATTCCCACAGCAACCTGAAAAGTTGCCGTTTTCAACAAGTTTAATACTCGATCTGTCTGGTAATTCAGGTTCACGGGTTTGACCCACAGCGCCTACCCGTAGGCCTTCAGGTCCAGGGTGTGCAGCTCCAGCTGGGGCTCCCGCTGCCCCGCGCCCCCCGCCGCCTGGGAGGCGAAGCGCACGAGCCTGTGGGCGTCGGAGGCCAGGGGGCCCAGGTGCTCCCTCTGCACCGACACCCGCAGCAGCAGCGGCTGCCGGGGCCGGCTCAGCTGCTGCCAGAGGCTCACCGCCTCGGTCACGTCGAAGGCCTTCCAGCCGCTCTCGTGGAGGGACACGAGCCTGGGAGCAGACACGGAGACGCGGGCGGTCACGCCGGGCTCTGGGAGCCTCTCCCGGCCGCCCCCTCCCTGTGGTCCAGCCAGGACGCCCCGCACCCACGTCCCGCCCCATGCACCCCGCGGCCGCCGCCTCCGCACCTGGAGTCGATGAGGGACGTGCGGTTGGCGCCGTCGTCGCGCACGCGCAGCCACTCGACGGTGACCCGGGCCCGGGCGCTGCGCGGGAAGAGCCTCTCGTGCCTGCGGAGCGCGGCCTTGGGGACCGGCTCCTGGAAGAGCCGCAGCACAGCCTGCACCAGCTCGCTGTCGGGCGGCAGCCGCTGCTCCATGCCGAACACCAGCAGGTGCGTGGAGGCCTCCAACGCCAGGAGCCTGCCGGCCACCTCTGGGGACACGAGCAGGGTTAGCAGAGCCTCTCCGGGCACTGATGGTTGCAGGACCCAGAACCAGTGAACAGGATTTCCCCAGAAATCCACGGAAAATTTGGGGGCTGGAAAACTGGAGGGTCCTGCCCCCGCCCCCCAAAAGATCTTCCTGGCCAGGTCTAGTCTCCTAAAACAATCCTATGGGATTGTGGGCTTGTTTACTAGTAACCTCCACCCTCACTGGGTGGGGCAGCTTTGGAACTGGAGCAAAAGATTGGGGCTACAGTTGCTACCTGTACGGAAAGCCAGCCTTGTACAGTGATAGGAAGCCCTGAACTGGGAGCAGGATCAGAGAAGGGGGAGCAGAGGCCCTGCAATCTCGGTCACCAGCTAAACCTAACTTTCTCTAGTGGAGTCTTGGGGCAAGGCAAGAGGCTTGAATTTACTTATTTCCCTCTCTGGTGAGTGAGCTTAGAGTCCCTGGGTGGTGCAAAGATTGGAGGTTGAGTCCATCCGGAGGCACCTCTGAAGAAAGGCCTGGCCATCTACTTCTGAAAAATCAGCCATTGAAAACTCTGTGGAGCACAGTTCTATTCTGACACGCTTGGGGTGGCCATGAATCAGAGTTGACTCAATGGCAACTGGCTTTGTGTATGTCTCTCTGTGTATGTCTGTGTAAATGTGCTCAGGCACAATGAAATCTCCCCTAAAGGAGGCCAAGGAGCCAGGTACCTGTAAACAACCTCTGGGGGGCTACTGAGCCCTGAGGTAAGTGGCAGGGACATGCGTGACGCCCTCCTCAGAGGTACCAGGTCACATTTCCCTAACACCTGAGGCTCCGGGTTGGCAGCATGACCACCTGACCAGTGAGTCATAATGTCACCTGCAGTCACCTCTACTGAGGTATTCAGGCCAACATCCTTGTCTCCTCAGGCCCTGGGCCTGGCCTGAGAGCAGATGGGTGTGGGTCTGGCTCTGGGCACTGGGGAGATGACCCCAGGGAGGTGAGAGGCTGCAATAGGATCCAGGTCCCATTATGTTCATTGCTCTTTTTCAAGCAATGAACTTTAAAAATATTAAATTGCCCCACACGTCTCATTTAATGCTGTCAACTCTGGAAGGTTAACCAAACCCAAATCAAACCCGTTGCTGTTGAGTCAATTCCAACTCATAGTGACCCTATAGAGTAGAACTGCCCCATAGGGTTTCCAAGGAGCAGCTGGTGGATTTGAACTGCTGACCTTTTGGTTCACAGCCAAACGCTTAACCACTGCACCATCAGGGCCCCATTCTGGGAGGTTAGTCAGAGGTAATTTAACCTCATTCTAGAGAAGTAAATAGACTCGGATGTTCCATAACTTGTCCAAAGTAACAAGTGTCAAAGCTGAGAACTGAACCCAGGATGAATCTCTTCTCTGGATGACAATCCCTTCCTGCTGGGGCCACTTTCTTTGCCCACCAGCACCAAGCCGCCTTTGCCAGACCGTGTTCTCGTCTCAGTCCCTCCCTCCTTCCACTCTGCTCCCCTACCCCATGGATACTGATCCTTCCCCTGGCTTTGCCGGCAGGTCCAGCTGGCCCTCCCGGCCCTGAGAGGTGGGCCCCTCAGTGAACAGAGCCCAGGGGCCGAGGCCCGCCATACCCCCAGGACCATGTTCCCTCCTCACTGCCCCTGCGGCCGTGGACCTCCAGGAAGCCCCCACAGAGCCCCATCCAGGGCCCCTTTGACACCACCAGAGCAGACATGACCAGCCTTAGCACCCCACCGCCCCAGCCCGAGTGCAGCAGGGATGGAGGGAGGGAGGTCTCACCTCGGAATTTCTGGCTGAACCTCTTCCCGCGGGAGAGGACCCTGTGGCTGTGCTGCAGCAGGGCCACGTACTGGGCCCTCACGTGGGCAGGGATGACCAGCTCCTCCACGTCGGCCTTGTCCAGGACGGGCACCTCGCTGAGCTGCAGCCGCTGCAGCAGGCTGGCCCGGATCTGCTTCTCCGTCAGGGCCGCCGTGGGGCCGGCCAAGGCCAGCACCCAGAGCACCCAGCAGAGCCACAGCGGCCACATGCTGCTGCTCAGGGGCCAGGAGCAGAGGGCTGTGATCCGGAGGAGG